AAAAAAAAAAAAAAAGATTCCCTCCTCTTCTGCCCCCCATCCCCCCACTCTCTCTCTCTAAAAAATAAAAGAAGAAAAAGAAATTAAGGTTGATTTCATTTTCTCCATGACTTCCTAAAAACTGTAGATAGTAGCCCCAATATCCTGTCTGGAGCCTGGAGAGGGGAAAATGTTCTGGAAGTGGAGACAGAGAGCCAGGTGGGAGCCGTGTTCTCCCCTCAGAACTGCAGCGAAGCCGGGGTCTGCCTCAGTGGGTGAGGGGGGCCGTGACCTCTGCCCCAGGGGCCAGCCTGCAGCTCGGTGCCAGGCAGAGGGTGGCTCTTGGACCTCAGACACAGGGAGAGCCGGGGTCAGGACCCAGCCGCCCTCAGCCTCCCTCTGGAGCCCTTCTGTCTGGTCCACCGTCCCTCCTGACAGGTCATCATAGCTTGCTCCTGCCCTTGATGCTGGCGCTTATCCTTGCTCGTAGCTCATCATCGTGTGAGCAGATCTGCGCCCAGCCGGACACTGGGGGCGGAGAGCCCCGCCGCCCCTCTCTGTTCGTGGAGGATGGAGTGTTTCCCCTCTGCTCCTCTCACTGATTTGCTGACACCACTGTGACATGGCCGACTCGCTTTCCCTGTTCCCAGTCCGTCTGCCTCACCGGTGGTGTTTCCTGCCTGGCCGTAATCAAGCGGAGAGCGGCCGTCCCTTTCCATGCTTCCCTGCACCCCCTTGTCGAAACTGTCAGCTGGGCAGAGCCGAGGCCGTCCCCGAGGCGCGCTGGGCTCCCAATGCGGGGAGCTGCCCATCCCGGATCCCAAACACAGATGTGTCGGAAAAGCAGCAACACCTTGGCCTCCCCGTTTCTGATAAGTGGCCGTATCAGCCTAAGCAGAGCCATGGTTCACTTTGATGAGGACTCATACGTGGCCCCTCCAACCCAACAAAACGGAGTGTTATTTCTCTTTCTTTACTCCTGCTTTAGGTGCCTTCCACGTAGGAAAAAGGGACATAGTGAGATTTAGGAAGATAAAGAGTAAGGTTTAGGAGACAGGAGTGGATGCAGATATGCTCAGGGTGTGGCTCACTGCAGCGTGGCCGGAGTTTCTGGATGATGGGCACGGGACCCCCGCATTTGGTTTAAATAGGCGTACACAAGTTTTTAAGACATATTTTTGTTCTGGGACAAATTCTAGGAGTTGTATGGACCGTGACCCTCCCTGGGGGCCACTGGTGATGCTCTAGATGGTAGTTAAGACCAGGCTCCAGGGCAAACACGGATGGGCTATCATTGGCTGTTTCTGGTTGATGCTCACTCGAAGGCTGGGGGAAGTCTCTGGAGTTGTGGGCTTGGATGGATCCCATTTTCAAGGAAAATTTCATGCAGAAGCCCACGTTATGGAACTGATCAGAGACAGGCTGCCCCAGTCAAAGCAAATGTTGGATGTCTATACTCCACCCATCACGCCCCCTCTCTGCACGTACCCTACTCCACCCCCAAGGCAACCACCCTTCACCCCCAGGAGAGCACATTTGAAAACAGTGGCAGTGAGGAAATCTTTCTCAAGTTGTGTCTGCACCGTGGACATCCCATATGGAAAAGGACTCTTTGGTTAATTAGGTGTGAAAACACTTAATGTATCTCTCTCAAAGATTCAAAATGTACATCAGCGTAAGAGAGCATCCTAGCCATTTGTGATGGTTAGTTTTATATGTCAAGTTGGTTAGGCCATGGCACCCAGGTATTTGGTCAAACACCAGTCTCACTGTTGCCGTGAAGGTATTTTTTAGATGAGATTAACATTCACATCAGTAGACGGTTGAGTAAAGACCATGATGTGGGTGGACCTCATCCAATCAGTTGAAGGCTGTGATCGAAAAGACTTTAGGTCCCCAGGGGAGGAGGGAATTCTGCCTCCAGACTCCAACTGCAACTCTTCCCTGGGTCTCCAGCTTCTTGGCCCACCCTGCAGATTTTGGACTCGCACCTCCACAATCACTCGAGCCAGTTCCGAACGTAAAATATCCGTGAACACATAAACGCGCATCTTATGGGCTCTGACTGATAAACACAATTGATGCCATCTTCTATTTCTTAATGATTTTCCTGGGCTCTTTCTGGTATTATAGGAAGGCATCTGATGAGTCCTGCCTGCTCGTGAGGCTCCTAATAAATGAACAGTAGCTTCAGTTCACAAAGGGTCTTGCTTGGTCTGAATGGTTCACACTAATCATATGCATCACAGTATACATAGAAATGGGAAGCCCATTTTTGAAATTTTGCTTTATGCCTTGTCCTATCGTGAAGGTCATTAGCTGAAAGCCATACGCAAACGGAGACGCGCTCCGCACGCGGAAGCACCAGATGTCCTCATCCCTCCTCTGAGTGGATATGCTTTTTCTTTTCAAAAACCGTTTTTGGAGAGCTGGTTTTCATTTTGGAAATGGAAGAGGAAGAGAATAGTTTCACACCGACAGCTGAAAAGCGAAGGTTGACACCTTGTGTCGGGGGAAGAGTCAAAGGCTGTGGGGGTCCCGCGGGGTCGACGAGGGTGGAGGGTCCTGTGGTCCTGCTCCCGCATCATCAGAAAGGGCAGATCGCTTCAAAATTGGAGAATTATGTGCACATTTTAGAGACGTTTCCACTCAGAATGTTTGGAACCGCACAGAGGTTTAGATTCCGTGTATTTGTATGGGTAAATCCTCAGCCCTTTGGGAAAATGGGCTTTCGGCGGGGGGTCCTCGCTGAGGAAGGGCTGTGTTGGGGGCCGCCAGCGCCAGCTAGACTCACCTCTGACCCTCCCGCTCCGACGCAGGTGCTCTTGAGTACCCTTCTGGTGGCCGGGTCTGGAAGGTGTGATGCAGACGTTCTCCGCCTGCTGGTGGCTCTTCCTGAGGACCGGAAGTCTTGGTTTGCAGCCAAGGAACTGTGCAGCCTGCCCGGGCCCCACGTGTATTCTCTGATCGTGTCCATGACTGAGAACCTGAATCTACGCAATGTCATTTACAAAGTAAGGGGGTGACCGTGGGGGGTGGCCTGACTCGGGCCTCGTGACGTCCGCAGAGGGGCGGCAAGGGGGGGCCCGCAGGTGCAGACCCTGGCGGCCTCGGCCAATCTCCGTGTCTCGTGTGCGCTGACTCTGGGGTGGGGCTCGGAATCAGGGGTTGCTCAGGAGACCTTCCAGGGGGTCCCTGGGGTCAGGCCTGTGGGGACACTTGGCACAGCGTTGGTGACCATCAATGTGGTCAGCATAGGAGGACCCACTAGGAAAAGCCCTCCTAACCTCAGTGCCAGGTTCCCCTCCTCCTTAAGGACCCTTCCTGGGGTACATCAGGGGAAGCTGGGTTCCTCGGGCCAGGCCCGCGCCCCGCTCTGAGTCGGGAGCTGCTCCCACCCCTCCTTGGTCCTGGCCTTCTCTGTCCCATCATGTCCTGAGACCCACAGCCTCTATCCTGTGAAGGTTATGTGCCTGCCTCTGCCAGAGCCTGGACAGGAGAAGGTGTGCTCACGGGAGGGAACACAGGGCGGGCCCTGGTCACCTTGGGAACCAGCTCATAACCTGCCCCACACACTCCTGCATATAGTGGGGTGAGGGTGAGAAGGATCTGAGAAACCCAAAGATGACAACGTGTGTGGGAGAGAGTTGACAGTGGACGGTGGGCACGGCTGACCCGGGGACACCCGTGATTACCCCTCCACTGACTGCCCTCTGGGCTCTACCTCTTCTAGAAGTTCATTGTCTTCTGTCCTCCACTGTTGGAGTCTTACTTATGCTTCCAGAAACTTAGCCCTACCCTTAGGGACCGGTCTTGTTCCCCGTTTCTCCCCAGGGATGGATTTGCCAACATCTGGGCTATTCAGAGATGCCACAGGTGTTGTTAATCCAGCAAGGGCGCTTTGGGCGCTTCCAACCTGGGAGAAGAGCTTTGGGGTCAGGAAAAGGGGAGGTTTGCCATCCCAACCCTCTTTCCTTTGTGGTCTCCCTCCAGTGGGTAAGTATTGGGTTACACACACGCACACACATTCTGAGGACAAGTACTAACTTTCAGATCAAGTACGCCCTCCAAATTCACCGTGCGCCCCCTGGGACACAGATGCAGCCCAATGGCGAGCCAGGGTTTTAGTGCTGTTCTGTTACGCACACAGAAGCCCCATGTGAAATTAGTGCTTCCAAGTAAGTCCCCTGCGGAGGGGCATGAGGATGAGGTGTGGGCTGGAGTCGGTCTCCGGGATGGAAGGAGAACGACAGCGCCTCTGATCACACCCGCTCCGATGCGTCAGGAGCCTTCTAGGTGCGTGGCTGTAGGGAAGCTGATGGACACCATCCTCCTGGAGATGGTGGAGCAGCCCCAAACCTGCAGGCCGAGCAGCATCAACACCAGGGTCCCGGCGCACCTGGCTCGCTCCCAATTCTGCCCACTTTCCATTGCCCTGACGGCGAGTCCGTGAAGCCTCTTGCAGAACACGCTTGCCGTTTGAATCTGTGGGTTCCTCTGTCTGTCAGCACTGTGGTCCCGTCCCAGTCATCCCCACCACGTGTGGGGCTGTGCTGGGCACCCCTTCTGGGGCGCAGGCTTGATGAGAAAGGCGGGCAGAGAAAGCGACGGAGCCCGCACCCGTGTCTGGTGCCCAAGTGTTGGGCCACTGACCCCAGGAGGACATCATTATTAGCAGAGCCCGGCCGGAAAAGAGAGAGCTGTGATCTCGGGCCTGCAGGTCAGCTGCAGAACCAGCAGCTAAGGGGCAGGTGCAGAATGCTAATGAACAAGAATAAGAAGTTGTGACAGTCAGGGCCTCAGCCTGAAAATTCAGTGCGCAAATGAACGCAGAAGGGGGAGGCTCGCCGTGATTCCTCCCTTCTTGTGGAAAGAGGCAGCGTCTGCTCATTTATCCATTTATCCAGCAAACTCTGAGCCGTAATACGACCCACGCTGTCCTGCTCCCTGTAACTACTTAAGTGATGGGACAGGCACACATCCCCACCCATGTGGAATGTACATCCCGGAACAGAGAAGACGAAAATGATATGTAAAAATACTTAGCGGGTCAGGGTAATAGCACACACAGGTTTCAAAGGGCACTGCTAGTTTCTAAAGTCCCGGGTTAAATGCCTGGCCCTGTCCTTCTTTTTTTTTTAAAGATTTTATTTATTTATTTGAGAGAGAGAGAATGAGAGAGAGCACATGAGAGGGGGGAGGGTCAGAGGGAGAAGCAGACTCCCTGCTGAGCAGGGAGCCCGATGCGGGACTCGATGCGGGACTCGATCCAGGGACTCCAGGATCATGACCTGAGCCGAAGGCAGTCGCTTAACCAACTGAGCCACCCAGGCGCCCTGGCCCTGTCCTTCTAACTCTGAGACTCCTGGACGTCCTTGGATCTCCGAGCCCCTGTCCCCTTGTCCACAAAATGAGCATTAGCACAGCCCAGAGGGATGAGGAGGGTAAATAGAAATGGTTCACAGCGGTTAAGTGGAAATTGTTTCCCATGTAAGAGTTGTTCTATTTTGACCTCTTAAATGCCCACTTTAGGCACCTCCAACATAAAGAGAAATTGTGAAAATGATTTGAATTTTAACGATAGATTGTATCCATCCCTGGTTTATGTTTGAACAGTGTGGGTACAACTGTGTGCCAAAATGCCGAGCGAGGCGTGCGCTAATAAAGAGGACTTTTATATGGCACAGTGAAGTCGTCTCCCTAGTTCAAGAAAGAAGAAAGTCAAATAACCAGGTTTTCACTGCTCAAGCAATCCTCATGAGAGTCAAAGTCCGACGTTGGTTATTTCTCGTGTTGTGTTTTTTTCCTTCGAGATTCTGATGCCTTCGGAAGCCCACAGTGCCCTTGGCTCCTTGTTGGATGTGGTCTCCAGACTCAGCCACCTGCTTGCCAAAGCTGGCCACGTTCTGGAATACCTCCCCGAATTTCTTCAGGCCTATAAGATCACTGCCTTGCTAGACACGCCCGACTTCCAACAGGTATGTGTTTGCTCTTGGCCCCCGGGGAAAAATTCAGATTTGCTCTCTTTGTATTTGCAGCTATTGCTTGTGTATCTCTTTCTTCCAACATCTAAATTCTACGTGTGGGAACAAAATATAGGAACAGGAGTACCTTCTATGGCTCTGGAGACATAAGAACCAGGGGACGGGGACTTCTTTGAGCCACATGCACCCACATGGTGGTTGGGGATAGCTCACGGATCGTCTGTGAAGTCAGAAATCACTAAACTGAATATTAGCACAAATGAGATTCCAAGGGCCTGTTTAACTTAATTCTGAGAGTAAATTGCTTTCAAAAACCTTCAAACGTTTATTTACATATAAATAATTGGCTTACAAATTACAGATTATTTGCTGCACATAGAAACACAAACTTGAATGCAGTCAGCAGCGTGATGCTACCTTTTGTTTGGATGCCGTCTGCCAGGAGGGGCTGCGTGGGGAGAGCAGATGTGCGGGGGACACGCAGAGGCCGAGGTGCAGGGTTGGGGGGTGGATGGCGAGGTGCTCAGCGGCCTCGGGCAGGACAGCACTCTGCTCATGAGCTGATGCATGATGCAGACACCTGTCAAGTATCTGGGTAACTTGGCAGTAGAAACGCACATGAAGACCATTAGTTAGTCGGAGTGAGTGATATTTTATGGATCGATCACTTACCACCGGACGGACGAGGATTTGCTGGTGTGCATGCATGCGTGTGTGCATATGACATTTGTCTCCGTGATGGGTTTGTAGGCCAGGGAAAACCACCGCATGATCTGCGGAGTGTTTCGAGGTCAGAGATGTCCCAAGCAGAGATCACGTGCTTGGACTTGTTGAACATCTTGTACGTTGAGTTGGAGAATGGGCTTCCTTTCAGGAGTCTCCGTCACTGGTTGAAATGCTGCTTGTTTTCCTCATGTTCTCAGGCTCCGCAACATGGGGAGGCCAGAAGTTCAGCGTTTGGTTCTTTCCAGTTCATGATGAAGAAGGTTTGCAAGGAGCAAGCGTCGTTCTTCAGCGGCTTTAACTCATTCATTAGTTTGCCCAGAGTTAACGAGCTCCTGGGAGGGGACAAAGAAAAATTCAACATTCCTGAAGATTCAAGTAAGATGACAGTAATTAGCGTTCGTTGAGATTAGTTTGCGTCTCAGCCATTTAGCCCTGCTCTGTATGGAATATTCTGTGTGAAGCTGGGCGCACACCAGCAGAGAATTGTCTCGGGCTTCTTAGCTTTACCCCTCGCTTTCACTAAGGCTGCCAGACACTGCCCTGGCAGGTGGCTTTGGAAGCCCCTGGCACCCGTGGGCATGGGCTCATCCTCTCTCTGCATTGCTGGGGAAGTGATACCAGTATTCTTTCCGTGTCACGGATGAGACCACTGTGATCAGAGATGAAATCATGTGGCCAAAGAGGCATAACTGGTTCGGGGGGTGGGGGACGCTGAACTGATCAAACCCTAAACCCTTACCTGCCTTTCTAATTAGAACGGGTCCATCTAAAGTGGGGCCAGGAAGTCTCTTATCAATCCACGGTCCTCTGCCACTGAGCTTCATAGAAGGCAGATTTGGAGGAGGCCACATACATTTCTTCTTGTTGTAGGACATAGCTGGTCTGCAGGGGCCAACATGGTGGTGCTGGTCTCTGTGCCCGGACCCCTCACCAGTACAGGTCAGCGAGGGGTCCCAAACGGACCGGGCTTCAGGGGCGTCTGACTCTGAGGCTTCCAGTCTTTTTAAAAGGTTTACCTGTTTGCTCAGCCAGGCCAATCTTCTTTTTGATGAATTCATCAACTCAGCTGATTGGGGACCTCATTTACATCTTCAGAATTCCTTCACCGAGCCTGTGTAAGCTACCCAGGGGCACGGCGTCTGTCATAGTCACGGGTTCTGTCTGCAAGTCAAGGTTTGAAGTTCATCCAGGGGCCGTGTTAGGATTCTGCCTACCACCTGCCCCCCAAGTATACATATGAAATATATATTATCAGTTATAAATTATGTATTATATATTTAAAAATTTATTTAATATAAAAAATAGATTATTTATTTATTTATTTATTTATTTTAAAGATTTTATTTATTTGACAGAGAGAGCACAAGCAGAGGGAGAGAGAGGGAGAAGCAGGTTCCCTGCTGAGCAAGGAGCCCGATGTGGGACTCGATCCCAGGACCCTGGGATCATGACCTGGGCCGTAGGCAGCCGCTTAACCGACTGAGCCACCCAGGCGTCCCAAAAAATAGATATTTAAATCTGTGTTTACATATGGCATGCCCGGGATGGACAGAGTGTTGGTGGGACTGGGGAAGAGGAGGAGAGTGGCGGTTTGCAAAGACCTCCCGGCCAGAGACAGTGTGTCGGTGTGCTCATCAGCTAATGGGTAATTCGGATAGCTGCCAAGCATAACATAATTTGGCAGTATAAAAACATGTTAATGTTACTAATATTTGATAATTTTTGTTGTCTACTTCTCTAATTCTCATTTTTTCTTTTTTTCTTGCATTTGGGTTTCTTGAGGATTTTTTTTATTACGTTATGTTAATCATCATACATTACATCATTAGTTTTATTTATTTATTTATTTATTTATTTATTTATTTATTTGAGAGGGAGAATGAGATAGAGAGAAAGAGCATGAGAGTGGGGAGTGTCAGAGGGAGAAGCAGACTCCCTGTTCAGCAGGGAGCCCGATGCGGGACTCGATCCTGGGACTCCGGGATCATGACCTGAGCCAAAGGCAGTTGCTTAACCAACTGAGCCACCCAGGCACCCCACATCATTAGTTTTTGATGTAGTATTCCATGATTCATTGTTTGCGTATAACATCCAGTGCTCCATGCAGAACGTGCCCTCTTTAATACCCATCACCAGGCTAACCCATCCCCCACCCCAGAATCCTCAGTTTGTTTCTCATAGTCCATAGTCTCTCATGGTTCATCTCCCCCTCCGATTTCCGCCCCCTTCATTCTTCCTCTTGAGGATTTTTTATGTGCTCATCAAATCTAATCATCCAATCATCCATCCATTCCTCCACCCATCCACTGATCCATCTATCTAGCCTTCCATCCATCCTTCTATCCATCATCCACTTCTATCCATCCATCCCCATTCATCCATCCATCCATCTGTCCATCCCTCCCTCCCCCATCCATTGATTCATCCATTTATCTGTCCATCCATCCATCCACCCATCCATTGATCCATCCATCCTTTTATCCATCCATCCTTTTATCCATCCATCCATCTATCCATCCATCCATCCATCTATCCATCCATCCACCCATCTATTCATCCATCCCCACCCACCCATCCATTGATCCATCCATCCCTCCATTCCTCCCCCAGCCATTGATTCATCCATTCATCTGTCCATCCATCCACCCATCCATTGATCCATCCATCCTTTTATCCATCCATCCATCTATCCATTCACCTATCTATCCATCCATCCCCACCCACCCATCCATTGATCCATCCATCCCTCCATCCCTCCCCCATCCATTGATTTATCCATTCATCTGTCCATCCATCCATCCACCCATCCATTGATCCATCCATCCTTCTATCCACCCATCCATCCATCCATCCACCCATCTATCCATCTGTCCCCACCTAGCCATCCATTGATTCATCCATCCATCCTTCCATCCATCCATCTATCCATCCATCCATCCATCCATCCATCCATTCATCCATCCATCCATCCATCCATTCACCCACTCAACCATTCATCCATCCAGTCATTCAGCTACCATGGAGGACCAGTCTTTCTTGGTCCTTTCATACATTGTATTTCAAATAATTGTCATACTAACCATAGACAATATTAGTACCCTCCTTTTCCACATGACATACTGGAAGCTCAGAGAAGCTTAAGTGACTTACCCAAGTTCATGCAGCTCTCAAGTGGCGGATGTCAGGATTCCTCGTTTCAGATTTCTTGCTCTGTACATATATATGGTTGTGTCTTTTCTGAAATGAAAATTGTCACTGTTTAAATTATGCTTATAAAGTGTAACTTTAAAAAATATCAGTAAGAGCAATCTTTATAAATGATGGTTTAAAAACTTATTATGTAGTCATGCTCTTAATTTATATCTCAGGGGATTCCTTCTATCAATTTTATTGTACTTGTTGAATAAAAAGAACTGGTTTTTCCTTTTCAAACAGAGAATTTGGGAAGATGTAATGAATAGTGGAAATAATCACAACAGCACTATTCATACCTTGGGTGTCAGGAATCATGATATCAAAACTAAGATATTTCCATTTTAAATGTCCACTTCAGGGGTAAAAGAATGAGTTGAAGTATTCATCACTAGCTTAAAATGTTATAATATTTTGGAGCCCCTGGGTGGCTCAGTCAGTTGAGTGTCTGACTCTTGATCTCAGCCCAGCTCTTGATCTCAAGGTTGTGAGTTCAAGCCCCATGTTGGGCTCTATGCTGGGCGTGGGGCTACTTAAAAAACAAAAAACAGGGGCGCCTGGGTGGCTCAGTCGTTAAGCATCTGCCTTCAGCTCAGATCATGATCCCAGGGTCCTGGAATTGAGCCCCGCATTGGGCTCCCTGCTCCGTGGGAGGCCTGCTTCTCCCTCTCCCTCTCCCCCTGCCTGTGTTCCCTCTCTCGCTGTGTCTCTCTCTGTCAAATAAATAAATAAAATCTTTAAAAACAAACAAACAAACAAAAAACAAAAACAAAAAACAAAGACAAACCTTATAGTATTTGGTTACTACCTATTCGGTTAGACAGGTCAGTTGAGTAAACCTTTGATTGAAACCAATTAGCACACAGCAATGTTGGTCCCCCACCTTTAGGGATCAAGTGTTTGAGTGAAAACAAGGTGCTTTAATATATCAAAAGCAGTAAGGTCAACACTGCTGTGTAGGCGCAGGGAAAAAAAATTCAGTAGCAATATATAAAGCTAATTTCATAGGAAAAGACCTAATTCTGTTCCCAATCCTGTAAGGTGTTCATGATTTTCTACACTGAAGATCAGATGCATTTCTTTCTATTACTATTTGCAGGTGCCTTTTCATGAATTAGTGCTCTTATTGATGACTTAGTTTGAATATGTGAAGGTCATGCTTTCCTTTCTTTCCAATTACCGAAACGAACACGGTATCTTGAAATTTCTTACAAGGCGAGGACTGCTAAGGACAGCGATGAGAAAAATTATTCTCGAATTTACTGCCCAAACTCAGTTGTGGCATGAAAAATGTATCTACATCACCCATTGGAAAGTGAGGCATCATGAATATATAGATGCGTGTCACCATTAGCCTGGGCATCCTGTATTGTAAGTAATTTTTTTTTCTTCTAATTGTGACAGCACCGTTTTGCTTGAACCTCTATCAAGAAATTCTGCAGTCTCCAAACGGCGCTTTGGTGTGGTCTTTCCTAAAACCTATATTACACGGAAAAATACTGTACACACCAAATACCCCAGAGATTAATGAGGTCATTCAAAAGGTAAGTCTGGGGGCGCCTGGGTGGCTCAGTTGGTGAAGCGTCTGAGTCTTCGTTTGACTCAGGTTATGATCTCAGGGTTGTGATATCGAGCCCCATGTCGGGCTCCACGCTCAGTGGGCAGTCTGCTTGAGATTCTTTCTCCCTCTCCCTCTCTAAAATAAATAAATAATTTTTTTTTTTTTTTAAAAGGTAAGTCTGAATGAATGAGGATCTTATCGACCATACAAACAGAGCATCAGGAAGGGGTCTTTAAAGATGCGCAGCATTCTATAGATTGGAATGCATAAAGTTTTCGTGTGTTGATGATGGTTCATCTTGGCCTCTTCTGGCTCCTTGTTCCCCGGGTTGCTGTCCTAGAGGACACGTTGGGGCAGGAGGTATTATTTGGAGCAGCCCATGCCGTGAGGATAATTAGACAGAAAGGCAGGCTGTTCCCTGTGGTCCCAGGAAAGGGTGGAGGACAAAGGCTAGCTGGTTTTGCTTGGTGCATCTGGAGGTTAAGGACGAGTCAGACCAGACATGTTTGTAGGCGCCACCGGGGCCTGGTGAGTGACGTTTCCAGGTCGATTGTGAGGCTTTGTCAGCCTCACTCTGTGGAGGAGGAGCTCAAGGTGGTGGCGAAATCAGCTTCCCTGGGAGCAATCCAGACATCACGGGGTTCTGCTTGGTTTCCCTTCTGGACCTTGGGTAATGTCCCGCCCATGCCCTGTCGGACTTGCGATTCTTCCTATTTGTGCTTTCTTTTGAAAGGATGGTGCTGTATTTTGTGTTTTGTTTTCGTGTCTGGCGGTGGCTTGTAGGGGAGCCTGCAGGCTCCTTTTGGGGGCTTCACAGAGGACAGACATGCGGATGATCTGATCCGACTGTCCCACCCAGAAGAGGAGACACCAAGTTCTCCTGATGATCCGCTTTCAAGCTTCAAATGGTACTAACTTGAAAGCGGAAAAGTTCACGCTAGCATGTGGTCGTGTGAGCGGTGGTGTTAGTTTTGGTCCATCTGGCTTTTGCACACCCCTGGGGTCGTCCTGACAAGCAAAAGAATAATTTAGATGTAAGATGAGGGACTCGTTCAGTGTGAGAGGTGAGCTGTTCCTCCTGCACAGAGAGGCATCTGGGGGGCAGGGCTTGCGGGCCTCCATCAGCTGGGGGAGGCTGTAGGCTGGCCAGGACAGAGCTGTGGGGAGGGCTCGAGCCCCGTGCTGCCTGAGAATGAGGAAGATTCTAGAAAAACCAGAGATTTCTCCGATTCTAGCTCATCCCATTTCAGATTTCGGTAGACCCTAACAGGAGCTAGTATCTTTTTCACTCATTCGATGCGCCTCACGACCTGGCTTGTGGATATCCTGGTTTTGTACTGATAACACTAACTTTATTTTGGTGGTTGGCCCTGGCTACTTAGTTTTATGAAACTTGGATCCAGTCATTAGACCCTTGGTCTAAAGTCCCAAGTGGCTGGGAGACCCTGGAAGCATTGCCACTTGTGTTAAATGAAGCAACAGACTCTGTGGGGTGCAGGGCCCGATGATGCAAATTACTTAGTACTCAGTTTCATTCTCTGCATTACTCGCTATTAGGTGGAACCACCTAAAATGGCCATGTGTGTAGGAAAAAATGTAATTTCAGGGGGTTCAACCTCTGACACTGAGGGTGTCACCAACAAGCATGGTGGTGGTAAGAACAGGCGTGCACGCCGGCAAGGCTGGGTGTCGCCCTCCCTGTCCCGACTGTCCGTGTGAGCCTGGGCTTATTGCTGTCCCTCTGGAGCTCTTCCTCGATCAGCAAAAGGGAGGCATGAGGGAGATCCAGGATTTCCTGTGGGAGATCGATCTTCATGGGGATACACCGCAGTCCCTGGGGGTCCTTCCCATGCCCTTGCCTGCCTGGGCTCCCCGGGGGATGCTCCCTTCCACTGAGCACGTCCCGGACCCCGATGAAATGATGGCTACAAATTCTCGGGAGTACCCAGCTCATAGTAAAGGGCATTTAGGCAGGAATCCATGGTCTTTCCACGTTATTATTCGAGAGGCCCCAATCCATCAGTATTCTCTTTTAATTTTGTGGGTCAGAATTGTGTTTGGTCTTGGCCCCAGGCTGATGCCAAAATAAAGAGCAGTGTGGAGACAGCATGTGAGCCTTAAGAGAGGTTACAAAAGTAAACAGAACAGATAAAGGAATTGGAGGGGGTTTCCAAGAATCAGTGGCACGTCAGGAATGGCATCAGAAGTGGGGTGTCACACCCCAAATGTTGTCTGTCCCCCAGAAATGTTCTCCGACTGCTTGTGCTTGGTTTCCTTCTGTCACATGAGCTAAGATCGCTGTCTCGCAGTGCGTGCAGCCTGGAGGATTGGAAAAAGAATTAATATCAGAGATGATATTTAGAAAAGAGACAACTAATGTAGGCCTGGACCTTCTCTACGAATGTGATTTCTGAAGGACGCCCCGCCCTCGTTCGTGGGGGGCCTGGGGAGGGCGAACGTCACCTGAGGAAGGAGGCAGAGGTGGTGGGGGGCCGGGGATTCTCAGCCGGGGTGGGGCCTGGCAATGTTGTCCCTGGAGGAGCTGGGGCAATGTCTGGAGGCATCTTTGGGGTCACAATTAGGGCGGTGGTGGGGGTGGGGGGCTATTGGCATCCCGTGGGTGGAGGCCGGGGATGCAGCCAAGCTCCCCGAAATGCACAGGACAGCCCCCACTGTCCGGGGACAGGATGATCTGGCGCAGAATGTCACGGGTACTGAGGCAGAGAAGTGTGTCTAGAGGGGGTGGGAGCCCAAGGGGAGAGAGGGACAGAGGAGGGGCGCCCTGTCCAGCACCTGATGATGGTGCTGAGTGTGGAGGGGCTGTGGGCCGCGGGGAAGCCGAGAGCAGAGCGCACTTGGCCTTCACCACCCCCCTCCCCCGCGTGTCTCAGGACCGTGGTGGCCCGAGCAGAGGGGTCAGGCGGGGGGGGCAGGCCTGAATTAGCCTCTCCCAGCATGGGGGCAAGGAAGCCAGACTTTCCTGATGTCTGTGTCCTGAGCCGAGGTTGGTGACCTGCCATGCACCTGCTCCTGCAAGGGGGAAGGGGGCCTTGGTGCTGGGGTGGTTCCAGCCCGGCCGCAGCAGGACGGCCTGGGCCGAGCGTCCGAGAGCAGGAGCTGAGAGGAGAAGTGTGTGTCTGTTGTCTCGACTGCCATCCCCACGGGGCCTAGCAGAGTGCCAGGAACACAGAGGGCAAATGGGTGTTGGATGAATCAAAGCATGGTGATTGTATGGCTCTTGTGCCCGGTTCAGTCAAAGGCATCTGTGTATTAAATACGCCAGGGACGGAATCAACTCTGCGCCAAGCTCTCTGCCCTCCCTGCGTCCCGTGGGTGCCCCGTCTATCACGGTGGCACTTGTGCTCGGGTCCCGATCCGCCGTCGTCTTGCCTGACTTAGCAGGGGTGAGCGTGATCAGGGAGCGCACCCTGCCACGGTCATCACTGTCCCCTAGCCACACTTGGCCAGGCCCCTGCCAGGACCATCTCATTGACCTCTCAAACAACTGTGGGAGGGAAGTACTATTATCCCCATTATACAGACAGGAAAATAAAGGCTTGGAGCGGATTCGAGACGTAGCTGGTAAGAGGTCCTGGGGGTTATGGATTTGGGAGGACATGATCCCGCACGGGACATTGCCACTTTCTTTTACCACTTGGACGTGGAAATGTGTGGGGCCATCGAGGACACTTGCAAACTCTGTCCTTCAGATTCTGCAGCCAGTTCTAGAATCGCATGGAAGGTGGGAGCCCAGGGAGGGCAGGTTTGCTAATGACTGCATGAAACATGGCGCTTGATTCTGCAAAACAGGCAGGAGACCCCCAGAGACCAGCCACAGGGCCGCTCCTCTGCGTCAGCTGGCCCTGGGCTCCCACAGGAGCTCTCCCCTGACCCTCGTGGTGCATGAACTCGCTCCCCGGGCAGGGTTGCACCTGACTCGTCTGTGTCATCTGCAGGGCCTGGCACAGCGTGCTGATGGGCGTTGCCCGTGAGGAGGTCTGCACGGAAGTTTGCAGATCTCCGTTTTCAGGGCCCATCAGAGGAGGAGAAGATACGGTTCATGGTGCTTTCATCATTAAAACGCTTTCCCTCAACATCGGAGCTAGTGTTCTTCCATGTCCCTGGGGTCCCCAGAGACCTCCTCTGTCAGAGGACCAAGAGCGTCTTTTTGACTGTGACAGCAGTTTGCCCTGAAGTCGCTGAAGCAGACACGAGGCCTGTCTGCCGGTGGGTCCCGCTCATCTGCGCCTGAGCAAGTTTCTGGAGCCCAAGGGCAGCCTGCAGCTGCTGGCGTGGCTGGCGTGGCTGGCGTGGCTGGCGTGGCTGGTGTGGCTGGCGTGCGTGCCGGCCACTCTGGGACGGAGAGCCAGGCCCAGGGTTGCAGGTGTCCCAGGGGCATGGGCACCCTACACGGCAGGGCTCCGGGAGCCTGAGGGGGGGCGCCACCCCACCTGCTGACCGTGGCCACTCCATGGTCCTCGTGGGGATCCCCGCCTCAGATGCAGTGTGGGAGTCTTGGCCCCCTGCCTCGACCTCCCCAAAGCCCCGGGGTCAGCTCCTGTGGCTTCTCGCCGCTTTCAGCTCTGCAAGCCTCTAGTTTTTCTTCTGTTAAATATCAGGCTGGTGTTAAAGCTAGTTTCCGGTGTTTGACATGATCTTGACATCAGAAATTGCGTTATCTTTTCTCCTTAGTGTTTTTTTCATGGCGTGCGCATTTTTGCTGTTTTCTGAGCACGGTGTCCATCTGGTTAGTTTGCAGGGTGTCAGTCAGGGTCCAATCAGAAGGAACAGCAAGGAAGGTTTCATAGGAAAATTATGACCTTAGAGTAGCAGGGGATTGGTTGGGGATGTGAGGGGAGCTATGAACAATGCAGCCTGTGGCTGGTGGGGGCACCGAGGGAAAGCAGGGACTGCCCTAGAAATGGCCTCCCCGCTGGGATCGGGGTCCGGACCCCACCGGGAGGAGCACAGCTGTGGCCAGCT